CCACGACACGTAAGCTTCTGGAGAGGCTCGATGGTGGTGGTTTTCGATGGCGGGCAGATGATGCCAGTTGGCGCCATGCTTGAGATATGGGTGATGTTGAAGTTGGGAGAGGCGGCTTCGTGGGTCAAGTTGTATAGCATCCCTCGGGGGAGTGATGGGTGGGATTGCTATAAGTCTCGCCCTCTAGGGTTGTGGAAGGACTGGAAGTGTGTGTTCGTGAAGAAGAAGAAGGAGGGGGAGGGGTCGGTTCGTGGGGGAGAGGTTCTTATGTTCGATCCTGAAACTCGAGACGTTGCTGGTCTCGAGGTTCGAACGGATTCGGAGGAAATTAGGGTCATATGGGATTATGTTCCGAATCGAGTTTCGTTGGTGATGTTTTCTGATGATACAAATTGATAATGGAAGATTGCATAGGGGTGGGAAATGGGACGGGATGGGAAACCCGTCCCGTTTGTAACGGGTACCCGGTCCCGTTTAGAGACCAAGGTTCATCCCATATCCCGAACCCTTAAGGGTTAACGGGTACCCGTTACCCGTACGGGACGGATAACGGGTACCCGTTATACCCGTTTATTCCCGGGGAATAAATAACAACAATAACATAGGCACAAAATATCTCCTGGAAAAATATCATTTCCAATGCTATAAACTGCTGCTGTCCCAACAATATGTTCTGCCCACAAAATAGGAATCAAATAACCCATTGGCCATTCTTCAAATAGCCTTTACACCCACTGTCACCATTCCAACACATAAAAAGAAAATAACTACCTAGCTGCTAGTCAATATTCTGCATTACATAAAACATGAACTTGAACAACTAGTCAATATTGTTCAAATAGCCTTTACACCCAGGTTTGCCAATTTGGAGAAAACTCTCTAAAAGGGGTTCCAAAGCTACTGCAGAAAATAGTCCATTCCAAGATCCCTTAGTGGCCAGTAACATGGCAAAGACAATTCCATCAATGAAGGCCCCTATCATCCCTGAAGAGGACCATACAACATCATCAGCTGTCTATTCTAGTTCCCAAAACCACAAAAAAGTCAGAATTGAGTAATTGAAGCCACCACCAACCTGAACACCAACCTGAAATCCGAAAGTTTCAGAGTGATCCACCTCCAATGGCTTGCTTGCAACACTACATTTTAAACAAATGTCAAATGATAAGTTATTTTACACAACAACTAGTAGAGTAGTTATTTAAAAATATAAGTTAGTAACCATACCTTCATGGTATTCCATTTCTTGTTCGGATTCGGGCACATCTTCTTCATCGTTTAAAACAATGCTATTGTTGCTTCTCAACCAATCACCACCACAAATCAAAGCCTCAACCATCTGGGGAGCCAAAGAAGTTCTAAACTCATTCAGAACTCTTCCTCCTGTGCTAAAAGCCGACTCGGAAGCAACCGTTGATATTGGGATAGCCAATACATCCCGAGCTATTTCAGCCAAAACAGGAAATCGTAAACCATGAGTTGACCACCATTTAAGAATATCAAAGGAGTCGACAACTGAAACATTATCTTGTTGTTGCTTCTCCTTAAATTGACTCTCGGTCAAATAGAGTGTCAACTCAGAAGCATCATTGTCGTCTCCTTCATCATCACTATCTTCTATGGCACTACACGAACCACGATTCGATAGCCTCCTAACATCAGCATTAAGCAAAGCTTGCTTCCGAGATTGTGTAGAAGAGTCTTGAGAGTTGGTGTTCGTCCTTGGACGAGGTGGAAGCAACAAATTTTTGTAAAACTCAAAGAGTTTAGAAAATAACTCTCTCAATTCAGCCACCATTGTAGTTGCCCTATCCAACCCGTATACCTTCTTCAAACATTTATGTACATGCTTCAACTTTTGCCGTGGATCCAAAGCCGCAGCTATGTATAGGATCTTGTTCATCCTGAAGTTGCCCGCTGCTTCTTCCTCCCAATACTTAGCAACCTTGGACCTCATTCTTTGTGCCATTGTTCTAATCTTAGGATCTGTATGCTTTTCCACATTGGCTATGTGATCAAATATATCACACATCTCTTTGAAGAAGAGATGAGATGTCACATATGAGGTGCCAGAGACGAGACAAGTCAAGTCATAGAACTTCAAGTATTCCATCATCCAACGAACATTTACCCAATCCTCCGGCCCAGGTGGACCAACAACGGCATCACGGTGCATGATTTTGTTTAACTCAGTTTCAAATGCAGGCAACATTCCTGCATACACTGGAAAAATAGCCTCGAATGATTCAGCGGACTCTAACATCAGATATGTTGAGTTCCACCTTGTTTGCACATCAAGAGTTAGTGATCTCTTGCATTGGAGGTTCATGCTATTGATTGCCCTCCTCCATATCTCCACCCTAGATGGCGAAGCAGTAATCCAATTCACGGCTTCTCTAACCCTTCTCACTGACAACTCAATCTAATCCAAGCCATCAGAAACAACCAAATTAGTGATATGCGCTACACAACGCATATGTAGGTATCTTCCCCCTGATATGTTAGTCCCCCATTCTTCAAATTTCTCCCTCATATGACGAACTGCTACATCATTAGCCGATGCATTATCAACTGTGCAACATAGTACATTCTTCAAATCCCACTCATTCAAACATGTCATCACCTCGTGAGCAATGTCCTCCCCTTTATGACTAGTTATCTTCTTGAAGCATATGATCCTCTTATGGAGATGCCAACTTCTGGAGATGAAATGTGTCGTGATAGTTATGTAATTATCGTTCTTCAACGATGTCCAACAACCCGTTGTGATTGAAATCCGCCCCGTGCCTCTATCTTTGAAGAAGGACTTCAAGCTATCTTTTCGCTGAAGAAACAACTTTGCACAATCTGTCCTCACTGTCTTCCTACTTGGAATTTTGAACATAGGGCAAACACGAGCCATGAAATGACGAAAGCCCTCCCTTTCACAAAATTTGAAAGGTTGTTCGTCAAGCATGATCATTTCTGCAAAAGCTAACCGTGAGTCTTCTTAATTGAATCGCCAAGCTGATATCTCGCCTTGTCCGTCCGTGGAGGAACCAGCTTAGAAACTCAGATTTGTTTGTTGTAGCAGCTCCAAATGTTTCTTCTCACAAGAGGCCTTATGGTTCTTCAAGTCATTTGTGCCATGGGTGTTTCCGACAGAAATGATAGTTCCACAACGATTACATTTTCCTTGCCGAATCTCAACTGGTGGATTTCCTTTTATAGTAAATAACACTGTGAATCCAACCCAATGTGGTGATCGGAGGATACATGCTTTCCTCTTTCTAGAATCCGACCCAATCGATGGTTCCTCATTAACCACAACATTACTTGCTGTTTGAGTTTGAGGTACTTCGGAGACGGGTACATGTTCTTGACTAGCCATCGAATATCACATAACCTGGGAATAAACACCACAACGAGATAAACAAGAAGATTAACCTGGGAATAACCTGCTAACAATCAGCCAAACCCCCAAATAATTCATCTATCTTTCTTAACTTCTCAAACATAAAAACAATTAAGGAAAGTCTCATCCTAAAACTTCCCAACAAATAAAGAGCAGCCATCCAGAGATATAAGATTCATGGTTCCACTATGATCTAACATCTGTATTAGCTCGAAAATGAATTGAACAATTCAACTTACCCAAAAACCAATTGAACAATTAAGAAGCTATGCTATGGCTGTCAGCGTCGGGGGCGACAAAGAAGGAGCTCCAAAGTCGTTGTCGGCGTCGCCAGAGGAGTGGATTCGACGATTTGTTGGTCTCGTCTGCTTCCGAGGGAGATCCAGAGGAGAAGAGCAGCCAACGGGCGATGACGTTGGGTGTCAGGCTGAGATATAGAGGAGAGGAGCGGACAGCGGCGTCACTTTCGTCTTGCTCGTCTAGGTCTGCTGGGCGGCCGCGAGGGAGAGTTTTTTGGCATTTGCTCAATTGCTCTAGGTCTGCTGGTGCTGGGCATCGCCGCCGTCGCCGATTGAGGGAAAGAAAGGAGAACGAAGAGAGGAAATGGGCCAGGGCCTGGACGGACGCCTCACGCCTGGGGTCGGGCTGCTGGGCTGGGCTCGGGTGCATTTATGAATTTTGGGCAGGCAGCTAAGTGTATTGGGTATAACGGGTACCCGTTATACCCAAACGGGTATAAACATGTAACCCGCGGGTACCCGCTTTTGAAATTACCAATCCCAAATCTCATCCCGCAATTATAAAATGGGTATTTGGGTACCCTTTACTCTCAAAAAACGGGACGGGTATGGGTATACCCAAATACCCGTTTCCCGTTGCCCACCCCTAAGATTGTAGCAAATTTGGTCCCCTGAATTGCTAGTAAAGTTCCCGTTAGTCACTAGAATTACTTTATTTTATCCGTAGTCACTTAAATTTGGTTAACATTCCAAGTTTGGTCACTGACCGTTAGTCTCCAAGTTTGTAGGGTGTTGTGTTATAGTGTGCGGTTCCTTTCCTGAGATTGCTATAATGTCTTCTCCTCACTTTAAAGTAATATTTTCCTTTCAGGTGTGCGGAGACATCATAATGCTCATGATTACCATGAGGTGTGTTGATCTCATGATGCCATTCTTTCCTATTATAAGATAGAATTGCCTATGATTACTCTTTATTTCGACTTTCGCTAGTTGTAAAATGAAAGGGCTGCTGCAAGTGTTATACATATACTTAGATCTAGCAAAATTGATCTTTAATATGTTGTAACTCACCAATTTTGAGGAACCATGGACATTATGCATTGATAGCAATAGTGCAGTGCTTCCTTTAGACACCCCTAGTATCGTTCCTTCACTCACTGATTTCTTTGGCAATGACTTCTGCTCCTGTTTGTATGTAATATGCAGGCTGTGTGGCAAGACAGCGTTGATCCCGACCATATGACTTATGAGGTAAAGGACATAGCCTCCGCGTATCTCTTTTAACATTTTGCACTTTAAGTGTTAGCGTTCTAATTGAACAGAAAATTAGTCGCTTCATGTGAATAGGTTAGTTACAGTTAGTAATCAACATTTTCCCTGTCCAGGAATTGCTTGAACTAGGTGAGGCAGTCGGAAGCCAGAATCGAGGGCTCTCCCAAGAACTCATCTCTTTGCTTCCTGTCTCAAGATACAGGCGTTGCATCTTCGCGAGAAGGAAATCAAGAACCGAAAGGTACGCAACTCACATTTCAGAAATACACCATGCGAAGCATAACGATGGGAATAACACCAGTAACTAAGTAACCACAATATGCTCTGTTTCTTTAGGTGTGTAATTTGCCAAATGGAGTACAAGCGAGCTCAGAAGCGCATCACGCTACCGTGCAAGCACATCTACCACGCCAGCTGCAGTACTAAATGGCTAAGCATCAATAAGGTAAAGCACACTGGACGCTCTAGGTATCCCATTTTCAGTATCTTCTTTTTTAACTGTTCACAAGTCCTTCGAAGGCTAATACTTTCTCCATCAGGCATGCCCCATATGTTACACCGAGGTGTTCAGTGGCGCACATCAAACGTCAAGAAATAAGCAAACCTGAAGGCAATACTATACGGTCGATTTTCCCCCCGGGATCCAAGTTTGTGGTGGTAGTTTTTTTCTCATTCATACCTTTTTTGTTAGTTTCTGGGTTTTAGTTGGCTTCTGTAGTGGGATTGGAGTGGAAGAAGAAGTAGAAAAGGTGATGGACTGTGCGAAATGGAAAAAAGAAAAGATTAGGGAAGAGAATGTTGCAGGCTACGTTTGATGTTATTATGCAAGGCAAGTCCTAACCTGCATTTAGTTTCTCTCAACCTTCTCTCCTTTCCTTCTTTCTTTTTACTTCATACTAGCATTGGCATCGGCCTGTTGGTCGGGTGAGTAGCTTCACTTATTGTTTAGATTGATCAATTTACTAGTGAGATGGCGAGATTTGAGATATTTTGTAAAATCAAATAGTAGTAAACCGTATCCATAGAAATGCAAAGATAATCATATTTAAGGAAAGACTAACTCCACGGAACGAAAGGGCATTAGACATAACGAAATAAGTAATTATAAATAATTGAAATCTATAAAAATTGTCAAGGAAAGAGGAAGTGACAACTTTACCCGTGGATGATGAACTTAAGGAATATGGAGGAGCATAGAGAGAAATATCTACCTCAACCTATCCAGTCAAAGGCATAGTCTAAAGATGAGTATAAAGATAAGGATCATGAAGAGGAGCATCCTAAAGACGAGGATTCTATGAAGAGGAACATCTACCTCAACTTATCCTGTCAAAGAAGGAGCCACCATCCAGAGATGTGGAGGATGAAACCAACAATACGTCCAACCAAGGAGAGAATCATGATGCTACCGTTCGCCCCTCCTTAGTCATAGATAATGAAGAAGCTCCATATACTGCAAGATTGAGGAGAGCCAACCAGAAGGACGATGATGCTCTACACCAACTCATAGAAGACCCAACCATTGAAATCGAAGGATCTGCTCATGAATTGATCCCCCAACATACCCTTCTAAAAATTTAACGAAGTCATTTGGAGTCTCTAACTTTGAGCCAGAGGAAGTGAGGGTGGAGATTGAATAATTCATTAGTTCCAAGAAAGCTCTTGGTGGAGAAAGAGATTATGGCATCCCCAAAGTTGGAGACCATGAAGAAGGGTGCAAGATCAAGGTGGATATCCATCATGGAGTCAAGTGAGATCTCTCTCGCCTCAGTGGATTGGATCCCTTGGCTGCATCTCTAGAGGACTATGAGACCATAACGTCTTATCTACCCAAAGCGTGAATTATTCCTTAAACCTTATCTCTACAACTTTTTTTTGCTTCTACATAATCTCAATGATGGTAGATGCATCATCAAAGTGTGGAGGTGAAAAGTGCAAGCTGGAGACTAAGGTGTATCTCCCTTGTGCCCCACCATAGAGCCAAAGAAAGAAGGAGGATGGACTTCAAAGAAGCCCTTAGTTGGGGAGTTTGATGATCTTGGGATGTACGTTTATCTCAAAGGTGTAAAAGAAAGAGCACTTCATGGTTGGTAACTCATATTCGGTATCCAAATTAAGGGGGTAAAAAGAAAGAGCTACTGTGGAGACAACCCAAATTTGTGAACCATCATCATATGCATCATAGTATATTATCTCGACACCCCCTCTAAGCATCGATAAAATAAGAACTAAGTACCCACTACTATTAATTAAAATGTGGTGTTGATCTAACCATGAATTAATTGTTGAGATAAATAAATGGAAGGATTAAGAAAGAAGCATGTCGATCCAATGTACCCGCCCCCCCATGGTAAGAGTCGGAATCAGCCACTAATTGCCATCCGAGATGAGATTTATTTATGCTTCAAAATTACTTTGTACAAAATTGATTGTTTTTGTAAGCCATTTATCGCATTTCGAAAGGTAGTTTAAGATAACATTTACTTTGAAAGGGTGTTTGTGAAACCTCATGCAACTTGCACTTATAGGTAAATTCCAACTTACCACAACCTGGCTCACAAATTTGACCATTTTGGTCTGACAACAGCATTCATAATCTTATAACAACATGTTTTTTTTTTCATTTTAAACTTATTAGTTGTCAATTTAGAAGAAAAGTGAAGAGTCTGTCTTATCCTTTTACTTGTTAAAGTCAATCCACAACCTCCATGATCTCCTCTCCAACAACTCGAGTATTAGTCCAATTCAAATAACTATTCAAGCTAATAATATTTAAATAATTCATTATTTATAGGTAATAAAAAATGTTTTAGGGATATGGATGAAAGAAGTGTTTTCGAGTGAGTTCAAATTTATTGGGTTTGGAAACAACCATACAAAAAATACTATGGTTGGATTTCTCCGATAAAATTGATTCGAATTTAACTTAATACCTGTGTTATTTTGTCATCCAACTTGTTTTTATTTTTATATTTTTGTCCTTTGTTTGAAAATCTTTATTTTGGATTTTGATCGATAATTCAACTTTGTTACATTATTTTTTTTTTCCAAGGCAAGCCCAAAGGGCATGGGACAAAGACCCGACACGATTACAAAAGCAGCAAAGGCAAGTCAACCACCACCCAACCTTTTTCTTGGTCCCTTGCCGCCGGAGATTAGTTCCGCCATCTACGCCACCGTGATTCTGAACTTACCTCCGTAGATGGCGGAGGTAAGTTTTATTTTTATTTTTTAATAGTTGTAGAATGAGGTGGAAATTATAAATATTTAAAATTTATTATTTTATTATTTTTTAATGGCCACGTCACTCATTTAACGGTCAACTATAATAGTTGGCCTCGAGATTCGTTGGCTAGGTTTTCTGATACAAATTGATGATGGAAGATTGTGGTGTTTTTTCATTTTAAAACTTATAGTTGTCAATTTAGAAGAAAAATGAAGAGTTAATATTATCATTTTACTCGTTAAAGCTAAGACACATCCTCCTCCAACAACTCCAGTAGTATGGAAGAATGTTTTAGGGATATGGATGACAGAAGTGTTTTTGGATGGCTTCAATGTGGATACTTAAAATACAAAATCATGTCAACCCCATGGTCTTTTTTTGTCGGGTTTGGAAAAAACCTACCAACGATAATATGGTTGGATTTCGCCGATAAAATTAAGTCGAATTTTGTTGAATACCCATATATGTTTGTTTTTTCATACCGGTTCTTTTTATTTTTATGTTTTTGTCCTTTGTTTGAAAATCTTTATTGTGGATTTTGATCGATAATTAAATGTTCTTACATTATTTTTTTGTTTCTTATTATAATTTGTTGAAAACGAATTACGCATTCTGTCGGAGTAACTTTTCCATGTGCATCATTTGAATGCTAGCTAGCTAACTAATCGTGCATGATTATTTATTAATTTAATTACAATTGGGAGTATATACATAGTTATTGATATTCATATATAGTTAGTGTCATCTCACTATTGATGTTTGACCGTAATAAATATTAATTATACCATTTTCAGCATTACCGACTTGTGCTTGTGTTCTCTTGGGTCCTTGTTGGTACTCCATTCATTGAAATTTCATATTTTGTATTATTAATTGTTATTAACCTAAACGTAGATTAATGTAATCATAAAGAATTGCAGGGGCAAATAAATAAAATATATTTAGATTAGATATGTGTGGTTATGTTACTAAATTAGTTGGAGCACAGTAGTCGAATTTTTTGTATGTGTATTCTTCATAAATTATAAGTTTAAAACTAATCTTCAAACCAATTTAAAACATTGAAGGATTGATAGATCTTCGCTCACTTTGAAAGAATTACTTACAAGATTAAATGTAACTTGTACTAATCAAATCTAAGAAATACAATATGTTACTTTTAGCAACTTCTCTTAATTATTATTGGGTCTAGGAGAACTAATATCGAACAATGAAAAGCATGAAATCATAAAGTAAGTTAAGAAAACAAAAATCTTATTTTGTTAATAACTAAGAGAAGTTGTTAAAAACAACATATTAAACTTCTTCGATTTGATCAATTTAGTGGATTGAGTGTTTTGTTTGTCTGTGTGGGTAAGGTCTAAAGAAAATGAACTTGCAGAGTAGGTTATCAACCATGACGGGAATGCAAGCGATTACAATAGAGATATGGGGATACAAGTGATGAGGGCTTTTAACTAGAGACCAGAGGGATTAAGCTTCTTAACACTTGAACTTTTAGTTTTTTTGTACCTTGGATGAATTTCAATGAGAAACTAGATAGAATAAGCTCCTTAACTTTGTAGTGGGGAGAGCTATTAGGGTTAACACTTATATCTTATACAAAACACATATCATCTAATGGATTTACACCAAGAACCAAAAAATCGAAAAAACAAAAGCATGGAAACATAAAGAAAAATGTTAACACAAAAATCTTCATTTGTTAATAATTAAGAGAATTTTTTTAAAATCTTTATTTGATTTTAGCATGGAGCCCATAAAAAAGAAAATGAGGGGATTTATGGTTTTGTTTGCTTATATGGGTAAGGACTAACAACTAAATCAAACTCCTTTAGACCTTTACTATTCGGGTTGAGGATTTCTCTGCCTTGTTAGTTGAATAAAGAAACATGTTCATGGCTTTTCGAAATCGTGTTTATGTAAAGACATATATTATTGATATGTTTTCGCTCTATGAAATAAGTATTCTAGAAAGAAGGGTGTGGAATTCGTTGGTACAGGCTTAGAGGTGACGACCAATAAGGTGTCATTCGATAAATTGTTTGAATAATTACGTCTCTCTACTGATTCAACAAAGAATTAGATTTAAAATTCATGTTTTTATGGATATACATTGAACAACCGCCTTTTATTTGGAGAAATAAGTAGTTTAGAAAATCTAATTTATTGAATTATCAATATGTCATGGACCTGTCAGTCTTGTTAGACGATCAAAGACAAACGCTCGGTGCATTTCACGATTGTGTAGATATGAAAATTTATATTGCTGAGATGGCCTCACTATGGAAATTGATTTTTTCAGGTTTCCATCTATACAACCCGGCAACCTTGGAGACCAAAGCATTACCCCCGTCGCAGTTTACCTTGACGGAATATTGC